TATATATATATAAACTTGCATAGTGTTTAAGGGACTTAGGATCTTTAATTTTCTTTGCTACCATTCTTGCACAGTTTTTTTTTATTGTGTATCTTCTTTAGTAAATATTATTATAGTGTTAGTAGATCTCCACAAATAGTAGCACATAGATTTAATTGGTGTTAGAGAGAGATGGTGATCTTCTACATCACATTTTCTGTTTTAGAATTCAGCCCATGGATTTAGCCTGATAGGGTGATGTAGAGTAAGGGATAGGCTGGCATACAGATAGGCACTGGGGAAATAAGATCATGTTTCTGTGTTCTTGACTTTACTCAGATCCCAGTTCTGTCCACTGACTCTTTGCCTGTCCCTTTCCTCTTCAGTTCCTCTCCCATCTTTTTTATTCCTCTGGTCCCTTGCCAGCCCATTCTGGAAAGGTCTTCAGTTTGTTGACAATCCAAGTCTTTAAAGTTGCTTACCTAAAGCTCCCTGTGGACTGCCCACATAGCAACATCCCTTGTTCAAATCTCTATCTTATTTTTACATGAATTGTAAATGCTATCAGAAAATGACAGATTGAGGCAAATATTAAGATGTTTTTTTCCTTATATAGTACTAGAGGCCCGGTGTACAAAAATTTGTGCACTTGGTGGGGAGGGGTGTCCCTCAGCCCGGCCTGTGCCCTCTCGCAGTCTGGGACCCCTCGGAAGATAACGACCTGCTGGCTTAGGCCTGCTCCTGGGTGGCAGACGGTAGGCCTAATCCCTAGGTGCAGTCCCTGGTCGAGCTCAGAGCAGGGCTGATTGGGGAATTGGGGCGCCGCCCCCTGTCATGCACAGAGCAGGGTGGATTAGGAGGTTGCGATGCCATCCTCAGTCACGCTCAGGGTAGGGCCGATTGGGGGGTTGGGGCACTGCCCCTGTCACACTCAAGGCAGGGTTGATGGGGAGGTTGCGGTGCCACCTCCTGTCACGCACAGAGCAGGGTCAATCAGGGGGTTGGGGAACTCCACCCTGTCAGGCACAGAGCAGGGCCCATCAGGGGGATCAGGA